GGGAGGGAAGGAAGGAAGGAAGGAAGGAAGGAAGGAAGGAAGGAAGGAAGGCCACTTAATGAACCAGTGTTGCTTCTCTATGCCTGCTCTTGGATCACCATAATCGATGCAGCACCAGTTTTGCCTGGGCTCTTGGTGAACTGCTAACCCTCTGAAGACTGGGAGTCTCACCTGTTTGTTCTGAATCTAATAATAACAATTATATTATAACACTTTCTATAAAAAACAAGCAAACCTGAACAAGTCCAACCACAGATTTCTGTGAACACATGAAGATTATTTGTCTAAAATGCACAGTCAGATTTGCCTGAACTTTACTTCTCATTACCCTTAAAGTCTTATAATCAAAATTAGCACAACTGTGAGCATTTCAGAAAATAATGCCAACACAAAAGTTTATTAAATCTATAGTTTTAGACTTCGGTTTTATAAAATAATAAAGGTTAGTGTCTTCAAAATTTGGACTTTTTCACAAGCTACAAAAAAAATCATAATTAAGTTACTAAACAAATGAGAGCCTATACGTTTATTGTATTTTAATATTAAAATCAAAACAAAGGCATCAAATGATCTAAATAAGCCATTATTTTCTTTATCATCATGGCAGAAATGCTGCCACTGCATTTTTCTTTTTTTGAGGCAAGGTCTTGTTATACAGCCTAGACTGGCCTCAAACTCAAAGTTTTCTTGCCTCAGTTTTCCAACTGCTGGTATTATAGGCTGACCTATCACATCCTATTTTTTTTTTAAAAAAAAAAAAAAACAAAACTAATTTTATAGCTAATACAAACATGATAATCTAATCTACAAAACAAAACTCAAATGTATGTCTATATTTCTAAAGTAACTAAATAACCAACCAACTAACTAACACACAATAGCAGGGAGTGCTAAGAGTATAGCAGCAGACCCCTAACATTAAGAAGCTGATAAACCTGTTATTATTCAAAATGAGTGTAATGTTCCAAATATAGGAACAATCTGTGTCTATGACGGTGGTGCGCACTGCAGTAGACACACAGAAAGTGAGCTGCTTTGCCTCTCAGGACAATAATCCGCTCATCTTTGATTTATAGCAGAGATCTTACAAAAAAGTTTAATTTTCTCTTTCTAGAGAAAAAAAAAGTATTAACTGGCATCACTGGCGATATAAAAGCAAAGAATTCTAGGAAAATGTATTACTGGTCGTAAGTATCTGCCTGAAAGTGTGGCATACAACCTTTATCCCAGTACTCTTGAGACGGAGGCACCAGGATCTTTAGGAGTTCAAGACCAGCCTGCTTTTTCGTTTGTTTGTTTTAATTTATGTAAAGTGTTCCAGGACAACTAGGGCTACATAGTTGAGCCACTGTTGCTAAAAACAAACAAATAACAAAACATACACATGCAAAAAGACTACATATACTGATAATTCTCAGCTCTATGAAAAGAAGTCTGTTGCATATTCCATATTGTCACAAGATAAGAATTTAAACAATTTCAACAAATTCTCCAGTCAGAATTTCTCATAAAGTTTTATACATGACTTTAGGTTTAAACACATATGGTGTGTTGCTTAAATTTTCAATTTTATTTATTATAGCTCATGGAGAAAACCTTATATAGGGTGCTAATATAAACTTGCCTTTATTCTCTCTCTGGTTTTATATTTCAACTCCCTCTTCCCTGATGTAGCTAACCTGTCATAAAAATTTAACTGAACAGGTAATACGCACGGCACTAACGATTTTTTAAAAACACAACAAAGGTTATAATTAAGTATTGTAGGCACTCAATAAATGATAGTTACAGAAATTGTGGTATTAAAAGTAAATATAGATTCTCAAGGGGCCTGAGAGTGAACAATTGAGCTTACTGTAATCATTCTGAGTTTATTTTTTTAATCCCTTAGGGAAATTTGGAAGCTATTCCCCATGTCTCTTTGTGGGTTTGATTACCTAGTTATTCTCTGCAAACAAGTCCAACTCCTTTGGCAATGGCACTTCTATCAGCATAAATAAAGAAGGGGCCAAACAGGGAACAGAAACAAGAAGGCTGGCTGGGAACAGAGACAGTATGCAGTGCTGGTCTTCCCCCTCTTGGGGAAGAGGAACCAAGGTAGTCTCTTTGGCTAGCCTTGAGAGAAGCAGGAACACAGTAAACATGACAGAGCTCAACACTAAAGCCTCAGTCTCCCAAACAAAGGACAAGACTTCTGCTGAGTCAACCCAGTCCCCTCCTGTGAATACAAAGTTTCTGTCTATGATTAGGGGCAGTGGAAAACAAAGTTCCAAGAGAGACTGTCATTCTTAACCACCTCCCATAGCTAGACAGTTTGAAATGATAGTCAGAGGCAATGCTTTCTCTAAGTGAAAAATCTAGTTTACTTAAACAATGACTTTCTATGGCTCCTTGCCCACAATTTCCTTAACGTGGTTTAATATTTTAATTTTTGCCTCACCAGAAATTGGGGAAATCCTTGTGTCATATCTGTCAGATGACAGTTATATTTTTAAATGTCCTATGAGCTAACTGACTTACAAGGATGGGTGGAGTATATTTTTATAGGTTTACCTTTCTCTCAAAAAACTTTCAATTTTTTCATTTATATGATACTTAGTTTTCTGCTGATAAAAGGTTTGGCCAAGTCTACATTTTTTATTAAAGTGAAATGATAGGACACATTAGTTGTGTCCTTACTGACACCATCGTAACTTCAGCATAATTTATACCCGATGCAGGGTAGACTGCACCTACTAATCTGATTATAACTATAACCAAGAAACTTAACTTGATAGCTTCTGGCACATACAATGCTTTAACGCTTCACATATAATTTTTTCACTCAATATTCATGATGACCCATGAAATAACCCTACTGGACAAATTAAGCCTCAAAAGGAAATTGTCTAAAGTCATACAGTTATTAGGTGGCAAATCGATAATCCAGATCCAGGACTGTGTCCCAAATGACCATTCCCATAACTACTCTGTAGTTTCTGTGATGGAAAGAATCAGATAAATGAAGTGCTCCTCAGGAGTTAGGTAAAGTTAAACAAACAAAATCTAGTCCCTACAAAGTATTAAATCATATTCATAAGCAAATACACAAATCTCTACGAATTTTTGTCAAATATGTATCCAAGTTAAGTAGAGAATCTTATTTTAGCTCTATGAGAACTAATATAAAAAGGGATAAGAGAATGTTTTCTTACCTGTGCTGGCATCTCCACTCTCCATTGATGACTTATTGGCTTCTGACGGATTGTTCATTCTTGAGTCTGCAATAAGCCAAAGATAGAGAAGGCGTTTAAAAAAAGCTACGAGTGAAGATGAAGGAGGCAAAACTATGGCAAAGGCAAAGATTAACTAATATTACAGTGATTCATTTCAAAAAGCTCAAATGGCATGCTACATTACAAACTGAGTAAAGATTATCTAAAAGATATTCAGGAGCTCCTGAATCATAAAAGAACCCATAAATAAATTGTCTTTCTAAAAAATTTTAAAATTTTTAGAGAAAATCTAATTTGAAAAATATTATATTACAGCCTGACATGCTAAAAAATAAATTATTTACAACAGACAAATGTAATATATGTTTAAAATAAACTGGGAAATAGGAAGTATCTAAAAAAGTATGATTATTCCCAAATGGTTCTTTTTCTAAAAGCAAAGATATTAACTAAAACAAATTCATAGTTAATAATAATCTAACAGATGAAAAAAAAATTGTTGGCTAGGCCCAGTGGCACTCGCCTGTAATCCCAGCACTCGGGTAGGCAGAGGCAGGCAGATCACTATGAGTTCATGGCCAAGGCTACACAAACTCTGTCCTGTCTCAAAAAACCAAACCAAACCAAACCAAACCAAACCAAACCAAACATACCAAACCACATGAGCACATCATTTAACTCCCTTAAACCGAATCAGAGTCAACATGGTGGGATGCCAAACACAGGGCTCCATTAAAAACCAGCCCAACAAATTTCACCAGAAGGCATAACAAAAATCTCTCCAGTTCTAAGAGTCACACCCACTTAGCAATGAATCAGCTAATTTAGGGTTACTTCTTTTTTTTAGAGTATTCGGTTGTAGTTTCCATAGTAAAATGTTGCTAACAGCAACTGCAGAAAATATAGAGGAAAGAAGACAAGAACAACTGTGCCCTACTCCTTCCAAAGGTGAGCAGGACAGACAAAGCAGACTCAGAGTTATCTGTCATGAAAATAAGCTTATTTCAAGTATGTTCTACGTTTTCCCCCTTGTTGAGAACCATTAACTAAGAACAAATCAAACTATATTATACTGCCTTTTAAAAACCTCTGCAGGAAATGTTTAATTAGGAAGTCAAAACAGTCATCACACGTTCCAACCATGTTGCCCACAGTTGCATTACCCACATGTGTAAGAGCTGAGGAAAAACATAAGGAGCCTTTCTTCCATAGTTCATAACCTAGAAACTGGACAGTATGCTTTCTAAACACTGGGCAGTATCTTTTCTAATAAATTTTTATAAGTGATACATGTCTTATCAGCCTAGGCAGTTCTAAGGTATCTCTGGCTTGTTCAAAGTGTTCAAACTTGTATGTTTGTGGTTATAAATGAGGTTGTTTTACAACTTCCTCCCCCACTATCCAGAAAAATTTAAATACCACCTGAAAGCACACTAAGGTTTAAAAGAACCAGGTGTACAACTCAGTAAAAATTAGCTTTCTGTATGGCTTAATCAAAATTTTACAAAAGTTAATAACTATCATTAATTATCATTATATACATGCTCAATGGTTCCTTTATAAAAGATTTATTTTAAAGCAAAGTAGAAAAAAAAATAAATCGGTAAACATGTATAAAGACTTAACAATTTTCTGAAGGATAGACACCACAGTAACCAAAAAGTCTAAGTCAAAACAAGCTTGGCCTTGCATAATTCATAGCCTAATTTCCCTACTTAAAAATTTGAAAATATGTCACATGTATTTTATATGACTTTTCTATGGACTTTTTATTGAACTGTCAAGACCTCCAAAGGCATTTTACAAAATTACTTCAAACACAAAACAGAATAAATAAAATTCTGAAACAATGATGGGAAGTCTGTTTCAATGATACTTAAGAGTCAACCCTAAGTAGCAGATATAATTTCTGACATTTACAAATAAATGGTAAAAATAGTTAAAAAGACATTTTTCTTTCTTTTTTCTTTTTTTTAGTTTTAAACTTGGTAAGTGCAAAAGAGAAAATATAAATAAATTATTCATAATATTTACTTTTTATTAGTAAGAGAAATTAACAGAAGCCAATGTCACTAGGCTAATCACAAGTCTAATTTGCAGTCTACAAATAACTACTACTGCACTGAATTTCTAACTAACATAGATTTGTTGTTTGTGTCATGTGCATCCTTGAGATAGTAGTTTAGACTCTGATGGATAAAGATTACTGCTAACTTGAGTTTGGCCATATTTTCTGTAAAGAGTTCAGTTATCTCGGCCCTATAAAATTTACTTTATCATTCATTAATAACTGTTTTACTTTCAAGAATAGAAAAATGACACACAGGAAATAAAATCATTTGCTAAAGTTTCAAGCTTAAGATATTATAGTTTACAAAGGAAAGTCATTCTTCATGTAAATAGAAAAAACTCCTCACAAAATATGATCACCATGAGAAATCATCTCTCTAAACCAAAGCACCTCAATCCATCGCAAGTCACCCAAAATGCCTCATTTATTAAAGCACAACCTCTCCTTTTCAAAAAGGCTTTCTGTTCTGCAGGGAACATACTACAGCAGGCTTTCCACTATACTTAAAACTGCAATTTCCTAAAAAAACAGCTGGTTTTATGAAATCAAAGTGACTAATCAGAGAAAAAATTTGAAAATGGCCAGTAACTTCTAAACTCTGGAAATTGGTCAACAGTACAGTTATTACTGTACTTTACCTCTATAATAATAGTAATGGTATTCTTCACTATGACACCACCTTCATTTTTTAATTTAGCATTTTTGGTTTTGTATGAGGCGATCTTATTAGACAGTCAAACAATTTCATTAGCATATATATTATTTTGATACAGTATATATTTTGTTTCTGATTCAAAATGTGCTATATTCTACATACTACTTTCTATAGACATTTTCCAAAAGCAAAAATGTCCTCCACGCAAGCTAAATTCAAATACATTATTTGCTGAAAAAAACTCCCTGAACCAAAAGAGCTAGTCCTAGGGAGAGAGCCCTACAGCAAACTCCAGCATGCTCTTGCCTTGCAAATGCTTTCCTCCTTCTCTGCTCAAGCCCTCCCTTCCCCCATACTGGTTGCATATGTGATTGAGCATTTATGCATAGTCAATTCCACACATGCTATTTCCATATTAAAGCTGTAAGAAAAGTACTGTGCTGGTACCCACCTAGAACACAGTCACTGCAGTCCAGCATTGCTGCAAAATCTTCAGGAGGTGCAGACAGTCCAAAGCAAGAAGGAACAGGTAGCGTTTGGGGTGGGGGAGAGAAGGTACTACTATTTCTAACAAATCTGTACTAGGTTCTTAAGAGAACAAGGGTGGGAGGAGTGGAAAGTGGATTAACAAGAGAAGGAAAATACAACTTGAGTTACACCATAGCAATCTTCAACTGAATAAGGAAACTTCAGTTGCTCAGAGGAGTTTTCGTCTCTTCTACCAGCAAGGACTGACATTGTCAAGGCAACTGAAGCATGAAAAGTTCCCCTTTTTGTAATAAAATAGAAACAAAGATTGCAGCTGGCAGTTTCCATAATGAAGCTTAATCAGTATGCGTGTGATTAGGGCCTTATGCAAATCTCTCCTCGTTAGCACAGCAGCCAGCACTTTGAAGTCCAGGAACAATTCATTTACAGAATACACTGAAAGCACTCCCTGCATAATTTAAATGAATACATAAATATTTATCAGCTCATTTGCATATTAATTGGCAGTGCATGAAGGGAAAAATTATCTCCTGAGTGCCAGCATAATAATTAGGAGGATAAAATGAGATTTCTTCCAATGGCCTGGCATCTTGGACCTAACTTGAGATAGTACCAGGGGAGAAGGGAGGGACAGAAGACAGAGTTCTGTTAAAATGCCACTGAAATGACATGAACAAATTAGAAACAACTCTACAGACTTAAGCACCTTTAATCTTATTCCTGCTGGCAACAATGACTTCAGTAATAAGAGGATTTGCAAAAGGCTTTCTACACAATCCAAATAATCCCAAGGAAACAATTAGCAAGGTAGGAGCAGAACACAGGCTTGTCAAGATGGTGCTAGTGTACTGATAGGGAATTTTCCAGTTATTAACACGCACTGTAAGGAGAAAGTCCTACTTAAAACACGACAACAGCATGAATGCAGAAGCAGGGGAGAGCGCATGAAGCATCTTTGAGAGCAGATATTCATTATATATGAGTCTCTTTATACTAGCAAACTAACAGAGCAGATTAGCTGGCTGCTGCCCATGATGTAACAGCCCATCAAAATCAAACTCAAGAGGAGGATAGTTTGTGCCTTAGAGCATGCATCATCCCCAAAAGGGCCATGTAGCTGTAGAGTAGGTATTTTCAAGCAATACCACTTAATGGACCTCTGTGTGAGAGAGATAGAATTTCTGTGCATAACCTTACTAAACATGGTTATTAAAGTTTAAAATTAAGTTAACAACCTTTCAGATATCATTTTAAAGAATCCAGATTTATACAAGCATTGTTAAATTCTTAGGAACAAAGAAATTGAAGGATAGAAAACTAAAGTACTTTTTACTCAATGGCATAGTAATAATTTGGAGTCAGGATTTCAAACCAGATTTTGCTGACATCAAGATCCAAGTTCTTACAACCTACACATTAAGGATGAATTGCACATTTGGGGAACTGGAGGGTACGGGAAGGGAAGGAGGGAGAGTGAGAAGGGGAAAGAGACTAAATCAGAAAACTAAAATGGCTTGTTTCATTACTGAGGAAGGAGACCAATAATTGGTAGCAAAGACAGTGTATTTAAAATTAAGTACATACAAATATATGAGTTGTTTTTGTTTGTTTTTGTTTTTCGAAGACAGGGTTTCTCTGGGTAGCCTTGGCTGTCCTGGACTCGATTTGTAGACTAGGCTGGCCTCTAACAGTGATCTGCCTGCCTCTGCCTCTGGGAGTGCTGAGATTACAGGAGTGTACCACTGTGCACTACTCAAAAGTAGTTTTTTTTTTTTTTAATTAATTTATGGTTCTTAAGGGTACCCTTCCATTAATAACCTATTTTTACTT